TTCAGTAATGTGGCTGGATACAAAATCAATACTCAGAAATCAATAGCATTCCTATACACGAACAACAAAATTACAGAGAGGGAAATAAGAGAAACTGGACTATTCACATTAGCAAGCAAAAAAATGAAATATTTAGGAATTACTCTTACGAAAGAAGTGAAAGACTTATACAGTGAAAATCATAATACACTGAAAAAGGAAATTGAAGATGATCTCAGAAAATGGAAAGACATCCCTTGCTCATGGATAGGAAGAACAAACATTGTGAAAATGGCCATTCTCCCAAAACTGTTATACAGATTCAATGCAATCCCAATAGAAATACCATCAACATACCTTATAGATCTAGAGAAATCACTCCTAAATTTCATCTGGAACCAGAAGAGACCTAGAATCGCAAAGGCAATGCTAAGCAGCAAAGACAAAACAGGAGGCATCACAATCCCTGACTTGAAGTTATACTACAAAGCAACAGTAGTAAAATCAACATGGTATTGGAATCAAAACAGAGCTGAAGATCAGTGGAATAGATTAGAAGATACAACCACAACTACGAACACACTCAACCACCTTATTTTTGATAAAGGAGCCAAGCAGGTTCACTGGAAGAACGACAGTCTCTTTAATAAATGGTGCTGGAAAAACTGGCTCTCCATTTGCCGAAAACTAAAGCTAGACCCATGTCTATCACCATGTACTAAATTAAAATCTAAATGGGTCAAAGATCTGAATATTAAAACAGAAACACTAAATCTATTGGAAGACAAAATAGGTAGAAACCTTGGAGACATAGGAGTAGGTAAAGAATTCATGAACAGGACTCAAACCGCACGGGAAATACTTCCCAGAATCAATAACTGGGACCACTTCTTATTAAAAAGTTTCTGCATGTCAAAAGAAATCTCAAGCATAGTGAAAAGAAAACCCACAAACTGGGAAAAGATTTTAGTGAACTCTCTCTCAGACAAGGGCCTCTTGTCTAAAACATATAAAGAATTAAAGAAACTCAGACCTCCGAAATTCAAAGATCCAATCCAAAAATGGGCATCTGAGATGAATACGCAATTCTCAGATGAAGAAATGCAAATGGCAAATAAATACATGAAAAAATGCTCATCATCATTGGTCATTAGAGAAATGCAAATTAAAACCACACTGAGATACCATCTCACTCCTGAAAGAATGGCCAGGATCAAGAAAATCGACAACAAATGCTGGAGAGGCTGTGGGGAAAAAGGAACTCTCCTGCACTGCTGGTGGGAGTGTAGACTGGTACAGCCTTTGTGGAGATCTGTCTGGAGATTTCTCAAAAAGTTGGGACTGGAAATCCCATTTATTCCAGCTATTCCACTTCTAGGCATATTCCCAGAAGAACTGAAAGCATCATACCACAGTGATATATGTGCACCTATGTTTATAGCAGCACAATTTGTAATCGCCAGATCTTGGAAACAACCCAAGTGCCCATCAACTGAGGAATGGATAAAAAAGTTGTGGTATTTCTATACAATGGAGTATTATTCAGCTATAAAGAAGGATCACATTGAGATATTTATCAATAAATGGGCGCAGCTTGAGACCATACTCATTAGTGAAATAAATCAATCTCGCATGTGTGAATACCGAATAGTTTCTCTAATGTAAATAATGATTCAAATATATAAAAATATGTGGTAATCGTGATTCCCCATTAGGTGGCCTTGAAGCCTTATAAAGTTTTCACTCATTAATTAGAAAGGCTTTATTCTGGGCTTCTTGATATGAAAATATTTGAAGCTAGAGTATATGAAGTTTTATCCAAATATTTCAAGGAAAAAGACACTATGGTAACTACTATTAAGTCAGGTTATAAGGTGGTGAAGTACTAGGTTGTTGAAACAGTCATGCTGTGACCTCTATTGTTATATTGTTATGTCCTGTTTTATCTCAATCTCCCCCTTATTGTTTCAAAAAAAAATTATTTAGTCATTTCTTATGTTTGTCTTAATTAAAGAAAAAATTCAAAAAAATTAGGATATATAAATAGTAACTCTTTTTGATTTCCTATTAACTTGTTTTGAAGTCCTGTAGTACTCCCACGATCTTGTTTTGACTGATTAGACTCTGTTCCATTCTATATGATAGTATCAAGTTTGAAGACATAGGCAACTACTTTGAAGACAATAAGATTCACTAAGATACCCATTCTGGTTTGACTATTGTCTTCTTTGGAAGTCCTGTAATGTTTACAATGCCTAAGTTTTATTGGTCTTGTTCTCTACTGTTTTGTCCAACTTTATAATATCTAATGAGATAGACAATTCTTTTTAAGGAAACAAGGGACAACAATGATAACCATTGTTGATAAACTTGTACTCTGTTCTACACCATGTGCTATGTCTATCCTTGGTATTGACTGACAGCTTTGTTTTGCCATATTTGACTGTATTCTTCCCCCCCCCCCAAAGAAAGTAATAAGCACTAAGGAGTAATAAAATCCAAGATGTGTAAATTTTGTTGTAAAAAAGAGAGGGAAAAAAAAAAGAAAAAGAGCTCTAACGGATATAACAGCAAGTGTGTTTGGGGGTGTTAAATAGCTGACTTTATCAATGTTTTTGGAACATTGAACACAGCTGTTTGCAGTCTCCCTGTTTGAATGTCCACCTTGTGTTCTTTGATACTGTGATTTGAGGAACTATTTTCAAGAAGATAGTGTGTAATCTACTAGCAGGTGATTTCTTACTGTTATGTTGTTTTGTTTTGTTTTGTTTTGTTTTGTTTTGTTTTGTTTTGTTTTTGTAGTTCTGTATTGCGTGTACCCTTACGCCGCTTTGGTTTGTTTTGTGTTTTTCTCTTTTTCCTCTTAAATAATAAAAAAAAAAAAAAAAAAACTGTTCTCCACCCCGGTGCATAGCTCAGGAAAACTCCCGTGTGTGCACAGAGGCTCACAGCAGAGTAATCTTTAAAAAGTCCAAGATTCTTGAGAACCCCAAAGTCCACCGGCAGAATGACTAAATGTTAAGACACTGTGATGTGGCCAAACAATAGATGTTAAGCATTAGAGGGAAACTCATGACCTAGAGATTCAGGCTTCAATATCACAAATATGTTCTTGAGGGAAATCCAAGTGCTAAAGTGTACACCATTTGCAAAATACACATGACAATTTTAAAGATGGTGATTTAGGGACTGAATGTTATTTGGAGATAGTATTTTTGGGTACCTAGATGTGACATAAAATATTATGTCCTTGTAAATGACTAGCCTCACGTCTAGGGCAGTGGTTATTTCTGGAAAGGGCAGTTAAAGAAATAAAGGTGGAAGGAGCCCACAGAGGTGTCAGGTGATGTTAACAATTTTTATTAGGTTGGGATTCATTTTTCCTTTAACCTCTTAAGTGTATAAAATGTGTCATAACAGTTAGAAATAGCAGAGGCACGGCTTGGGGATGGAAGGGACCTCAGCACTCACCTGGCCCTTGTGAGGCCCTAAATTCCATTCCTCGCCCCACAAAACATGAGGGAAACAGGAAAAGCCTAATGTGAATCTGACACTTGGGCTGGGGATTTAGCTCAGTGGCACAAGCACCTGCCTGACAAACCTGAGGCTTGAGTTTGATCCTGGGTATAGAAAAAACAATCTTTCACTTCTCTGGACCTAGCCCCGTTCCTGAAAATGCACTTTTGGTGGTCTCACTTTCAAGGGGTCTGCTTACATTTGGGAAAAGTAAATCATGGAGTCAATGCCTTGGGCGGCACATAGGATTATTTTATTCAGAGAATGATTTAACCTCTTAGACATCAGGAGGAGAAATCATTTCATCTCCCTATACCTCTGAACATCTGGAAGAGTTGTTAACTCTTCAACCTTGTTTTTCATTTTTTTGGTGTTTGCGAGCCTGATGGACAAGGCTGTCTCAGAGTGGAATCCCTAGCCACCGCGAATTAGCCTGAGTTTTGTGATTCTCTTGACAACCTGTGGAGACGCGTCTTGTTTATCCTGCATGCGCTCCTGTGCGCGCGCCCATGGGGTGGGGGTGAGGGATTAACAGTCTCAGTGCACAGGTGCAGTTGATGGGTACAATGGTTTGGGAAAGTAGCTATGCCAATCCAGGTTAAACCAGTTCTCCAAACGTAAAATTGTCACTCATCCACCACTGAAAATTTTAAAACAATTACTGCAAACAACCATGACTTTCCACACTTGGAGAAAAAAAAAATGGTTCTTCTGAATATGTTCTATAATAATAATCTATATGCAAGGAATTTCTCATTTCATAAACTTAGCTTCTAACCAGTAGACCTCTGCAAATCTGTGATAATTCACTGGAGAAAGAGGACAAGTGCCATTACTGAAAATGGCCAGCAGCAATATCAATGCACTGGTGATTAGAGGACCAGCATAGCAGCTTCCTGTTGGAGTTCCTGGGCCCCCGCTCTCCTGCATTCTGCTTCAGCAAGATGCTACTAACGGTCCACACTGCTGGAGATCTTACCGTGTGCAGAGCGCCATCCCAAACTGCTCCTTCACTGTCTCATTTTGTCCTCCTGATGACTTCTTGAAGAGGAACAAAGGTACCATGAAAGCCCAAATACCGGAGCTTTTTTTAAAATCCAAAACTCATGACCACACACTCTTGATTTCATTTTGAAAAATTTTGTGAACTGAAATGTACCAGAGAAGAAGAAGAAAAATGAGCATAGAATGTGTATTTTTTCAAGATACAAATCCTCCTCTCCTTTTTTTTTTCCTGAGCCTTCCTTTCTGAATAATGAAATTATTTCTGAATTCAAAATAACCAAGTGGTATTTTATTCAGCACTGGATCATTATATTTGTTGGCAGACCTGTTGTAACCTTGACTCTCCTACAGCGAATTTAAGTATTATTCTAATTGATTTTTTTCACTGCTTACTGAGAAACAGAGCACCCCTTTCACTGGTCTCATAAATAATTCCATTTCTCTCTGTCACTGTTAATTGAACTTACCTCATGTTGTCAATTTCTCTTTCTTCCTTGCAGGTGATGTCATTGTCTATATTAATGAAGTTTGTGTCCTTGGACATACTCATGCAGATGTTGTCAAACTTTTCCAGTCTGTTCCCATTGGTCAGAGTGTCAACCTGGTGTTGTGTCGTGGCTACCCTTTGCCCTTTGATCCGGAAGATCCTGCCAACAGCATGGTGCCACCCCTTGCAATAATGGAGAGGCCCCCTCCAGTAATGGTCAATGGAAGACATAACTATGAAACGTATTTGGAATACATTTCTCGGACCTCACAGTCGGTTCCAGATATTACAGATCGGCCACCCCACCCTTTGCATTCCATACCAACTGACAGTCAGCTAGATGGCACGTATCCACCACCCGTCCATGACGACAATGTGTCTATGGCTTCCTCTGGGGCCACCCAAGCTGAACTTATGACCTTAACCATTGTGAAAGGTGCCCAGGGCTTTGGCTTCACCATTGCCGATAGTCCCACAGGACAGCGGGTGAAACAAATACTTGACATTCAGGGATGCCCTGGCCTGTGTGAAGGCGACCTCATTGTTGAGATCAACCAGCAGAATGTACAGAACCTGAGCCATACAGAAGTCGTGGACATACTTAAGGACTGCCCCGTTGGGAGCGAGACTTCTTTGATTATCCATCGAGGAGGTAAGACAAAGTCTGGCTCAGCAATGCAGTGCGTGGGTAAACTAGTAAGACGTTTACAGTAATCTTGTTAAAATAGAGATTTCCATACAGCATGATGAAGTTCATGCTTTTAAAGAGTGGTAAAAGAGCAAGAGTAGAAAACATGTGTGGAAAGCTGGATATTTGGATTTTGAGAATCTATCTTTTTGTAGTTTGTATGACACACAATCAAAATGATGCTTTCGGGCTTACCAACATTTTGCTATGAACTTGGAGGGTAGAGGCTGACCCTCAACTATGAAGGTCTTCTGTCTCAAAAGGTCATCACCATTCCAGTTGTAGAGGGCTCAGACTGTCTGCCCACAGAGTGACCTGGAAACCTGCGTGGCCACTCAATGTGGCAGTCATGCATAGGGTTCCAGGCTGCAGGTGGGAGCTAGGTGGCTTCTACCAAGCCGAGGAATAAACTGGATGACCTCATAAGGACCACGGGAGCTGTGTGCTGTCCAAGCACTTTCCAGAGGGCAGAAGTATTTTTCTAGTCCCTTCTTCCTCTGTTATGGGTACTACTGTCCCCCTCCCTCTGCCCACCTTCCTGACCTGCTACAGAAAGGCTGGGGCTGAAGCTCAGGCCGCACTGAGTGAAGTGTGGAAATGGGGCAGTGAGGGGCTCAAGGCTGGGAAGGATGTTTCTTCCCTGCTGCCTTCTCTGTGAGGAGGGAATGGGCCAAGCAGAGGCTCCTCTCTGCTTCTCTTAATGATCAGTGCCAAAAAGTAAAAGCCAGTGTGCCACTGTGCTCTTGAAGGTCCATGAAACTGGGGATGGGCGAGAGAGGTGACCACAGATAGAGTCCTCCAAGACTTACGGCATCGAAGGCAAAGACTCCGACGAGTTCTGCCTTGGCTGTCCATTAGCTCAGCCACCTGACCTATCCCAAGGAGAGATGACACCACTGCCCCCCATGACATCGGCCTTAGCTCTGAGTGACCCGAGTGGGTGTGCACTACCTCTCTGTGGAGGCTAAAGTGACTTGGAGCCTCGGCAGAGAAGGGTGAAAAGGAGCAGTGCTGTGAGGAGATCATGCGTGCAGACCACACGCGTGACCCTCAGATCCGCAGCAGAGCCCTGGCAGTTCGGATTGCGACTGAAAGAGGCTCCACTGGTGACTCCTGTAACCCTGTCTGCAGGATTTTCCTTTCTAGGAGGCAGCCCATGGGGATTCACCAAATGCTTTGTGTTTATGAGCAATACTAAACACAGTATTGGGTACCTGTGCTAAACATGGAAATTGTGATGGCAAAGTCTTACTAAATTTCACCTTCTTAAGGCATTGCTACAACCAGTTCTTGAATCGCGGTGGGGAAGTGTTGGCAGTGTGTTTTAATTTCTTCCATTACATCTTTACAATTAAAACAAACTTTCCTAACTAAATAGCCCCACGTTCGTAAGGTCTACTTGAAAATCAAATTTTTGAAGCAGGTTTTTAATGCTGCAAATGTAACTGAAAACCACCAGACAGTATCCACGGCATGATTTATAGAAATTAATCTGGGCACAGTTGACATAGTGGTTGCTTTTAAAAGCATGACATAGCAGGAAAATGTGCTTTGGAATTCTCTATTTATATGGTTGCAACCCACCATCACACACCTGTGCCAGACGGTGGGCCCACTCTCTCTCGTTCTGTCCCCCTCAGTCCCTTGCTCTCTCTGACTCACTCATTTTAGTCGAAAAAACCTCTTGAATCTCTTCAAATTCCTGTGGTTTGTCCTGATCTCTCTGAAATTAATAAGACCTGGCACCATGTTTTTATGATGAGGTTCACTTTGATTATCTTGTAAGCTAATCAGAAGTGCTTTATTCTTGTGCAAATAAGCATAGGTTTTCAAGAGCAGGGTCACAGGCCTGGGTTCTTATATCAGGACCAAGGTGGTTGTTATTGTTTATACAGCAAAAGTGTATTGCTTGAATTATTTATCAGAAAGTACTGAATGAAAAGCAGTTATCTGTCCCTTCCCCATGCTTTCAGTTCTTTTCCCCAGACAGCTATATTTTTGCATGTATGCTTCCAGAAGGTTTGTAGTCTACAGCTCATATATGAGTATATGGAGTACCTTCACTATGGATAGGAAGATACCATACATACGTGTGTCTTGCTATAAACTAATTGGTTATAAGAATTTACTTTTTTAGCATACATTATGGGATATAATTTGCATACCATTAAAGTAACCAATTGTAGCATATCTTTCATTATGTTTTGCTAAAATGATAGTTTTATAAATAACATAAATCCCTGGAATGTCATTGTCCCAAATGCTCTAGTGCCCATTTGGTGCCTGTCCTCTGTCAGACCTCCAACCTCACGTACCCACAAATCTGCTATCTCATTTTACTGATCCATTTTTATAAATCACATCATAAAGGATTTAGTGCTTTAGTTAGCATAACACTGTTGAGAATTACACAACAGATACACATATGAATGGTTTGTTTCTTTTACTGACTAGTATTATTGCATTATATTAACCTATTTTTGTCTATTGACCAGTGATTACATATACCAGTTATTTTTTTTCCAGGTGGTTTTGAGTAATTTTGCTATAAATATTGGGATACAAGTGATCGCTTGTAGGGATGTTGTCATTTTTCTTGGTCAGATTCCTTGGAATGGTGTACCTGGAAAGTGTGCAAAGTGTATTCTTCAATGGAAACGTCTCCCAAAATGGCTATACTATTTTATATTCCACCAACAGTGTAGATGGCTTCCAATTATTGCTTCTCACATTTGGCATAATGGACCATTTTTAGTGTAATCATTCTAGTGAGTATGTACTGCTACTTTTTGTAGTTTTAATTTATATCTCTCTAATCTTTTTACATATTTTCATGTGCTTATTAGCACTGATGTATCTTCTCTGGTAAAATCCCTAATTATATATCTTGCCCATTTGTATTATTGGCTTTTTGTCTTCTTGAGTTATAGAAGTTCCTTATGAAGTCAGAGCCCAGGTCCTCTTTAAAACAGCTTTGTGTAGTGGCAGGATCGTAGCATGTTATTATCGCTAATTAAAATAGATGATTTGCAAGTATTATCCAGGTCTGGGATTTGTCATTTCACTTTCTTTTTGCTGGCTTTTGAATGACAAAAGTTTTCCAAGTTTGATAACATCAAATTTATATTAATTTCCCCTTGCATGGATCTTTCTTTGGGTGTTATACTTTACCTAACCCAAAATTGTGACTTTTTCCCTATGTTTTCTTTTACGGTTTATGTAAGCATTAATATTTATATTTAGGTCTGTAAACCAATTTAAGGTAATTTTATCTATAATGTAAAAAGTGACTTACTTCACTTTTTGCACATACATATCCAATTGTTCTAGCACCAGTTTCCTGGGGGAAAAGCTATTCCTTCCCACTGAACTGCCTTGGCACTTATAACAAAGATTAGTTAGTAGAAATATGGGGGCTTGTTTCTATATTATCCATTTCCGTTGAACTGTGCGTCTATGATGTTAATAGCACACTTTCTAGATAACTGTAGCTTCATGCTGTGTATTGAAATTACAGTCTGTGTCCCCCAACTTTTTTCTGCTTTTTCGAACTGATTTTGTCTATGCCAGGTCCTGTGCATTTCCACAGAAATTCCATAAATTTTAGGGCTGGCTTTTAAATCATTTTGTTAAAGGCCTGCTGAGCCTGAAGTTGCAATGATTCTACAAAACAATTTTCCTCTTTCCCATTAAACCTCTCAGTTCTTCAGGGTGGTCTATATAGCTCTACATTCATATGGGCCTTCCTTAATTTCTCTCAGCACTGATTGACAGTGTTCAACGTGCAAATCTGCACCTTTTTGTTAAACTTATTTCTAGCTATTTATTGTTTTCTATGTTATTGTAAACAATTGTTTTCTTGCCTTGTGTGATGGTGGTGGTGGTGAGGGTGATGATGGTTTAGAACTGGGAATTGAATCCAGCAGCATCCTACCGCTGAACTATATCCCCAAACTTTGTTGCTATTTTTGTTTTGTTTTGACAGTGTCTTGGTAATTTCCCTCCTTGCTGGGACAAAATACCTAACACCCACAGGGAGGAAAGGCTTATTTTGGCCCATGTTTCAGTCCATAGTCTGCTCCTCCAAAGCAGACCGGTGTGGCACAAGGCCATGACAGAGCACAAAGGCTCAAACTATAGAGGAAGGAAGCAGAAAGAGCAAAGGGAGGGCCTGGGAAGGGAGAAGGTCCCTCTTGGACACGCCCCTGTGACTCCCTTCTTCAGAACAGGGCCCAGCTTCTGCAGGCACATTTAGCTGTAAACCTACCAGTAGGCTGATCTGCCCATGAGGACAGCACCGCCATGATCCAGTACCTTCCAAAAGCCCCAGCTATGAGCATGAAAGGCTCTTGGGAGACACCTCAGGACAAACCCTAGCACAGCCTTGCCGAGTCACCAGGCTGCCCTCTTACTGAGCATTCTCATGCCTCGGTCTCATAAGTAGCTGGAATTACAGAGAAGTGTTGTCTTAATGTCATTTTCAAATTATTTGTTGCTAGTATATAGGAATGCCTTTATGTTTTTCTTTTTTGTTCTTGTACACTGCAAATTTGTTAAATTCACTTTTCAGATCTAAGCACTTTTGAAATCCCATAATATTTTGTACACAGTTTTTGTGTCATCTAGTAATGTGCTTTTATTTCCTCCATTCAAATATGTAGATTTCTGGCTTCTTTTCCTCGCCTTATTACATTGGCTAGAACTTCTGGTACACAGTTGAATGCAAGGCAGGACAGTGTCATCCTGAGTCATCCTGACCTTGCTGCCAGTTTTAGGGAGCAAACATTAGTCTTGCACCATTAAAGTGTGATTTTCAGTACAGGCTTTTATGTGCCCTTTTTCAAGTTGAGAAAGTTCTATTCTGGTCTTAGTTTGATGAGAATTTTAATAATTCATGAGTCCTGGGTTTTATCAGATTTTTTTCCATATCTATTGAGATGATCTTATAATTTGGTCTGTTTTTC